CTACCAGGACCGGAGGTGGAAGCTCATCGACAAGTCGATGCAGCTCAACCACCGGGAGCGCTATACCTGGTGGAAGGTATAAAGAACAAACTGTCAGCTCCCGGTGGTTGAAATCAACTCTAGCGGCTACCGCCTGCAGAGGAGTCTGCAGCAGAACCTGGCGTGCGGGCACACTGTGGTGCACTGCCAAAAGTACACCTCCATGGGCAATGGTCGGGGTGTCTAAGTCTCTTCTAAAAACAGAGTAACCCTTGATGGCAAGGTAACGTTTGGCGCTAGCTTATACATGATGAGCTGTCCGTGGCGAATAAAAGAAGGTAAATCATTGGTAAATAGTAAAAACAAGATCGGTCCCAAAGTACTCCCTTGGATTACGCCATGTGTCACCGCCACTGGCGTTGTACACCCCGCCACACGCTGCGTTCGGCCTTCGAGCCAACCGCGGAACCAATGGTCATCTACACCATACCATCCGAGCTTTTCCAGGAGCCGGCAATGCTGCACGCTGGGGCATTCCACGATAGATCGACCAAAGCCGTACACCCTCATATTTTATTTTTTGCTTAAAATTGGTCTAATGGGTTGTGATGGGCGGGGAAGCCAGCTGTGGCAAGGATTTTTTTTCTCCGAACAACGGTTTCCGAGATATAGCCTCAGGCAATTCCTGGATGTCACGCTGCAACCCTATGTTTGGCGGCTTATAACTCAGAAACTATTGGTTTTCTATGGTAAAAACTTTATATGGTTCAACTCGCAATCAACCAACAAACGTTTTGGCTATCTTGGATTTTCGATTTTTGAAAATTTTGATCACGTGACATCTTGACCTTTTTTTCGAAGAGTGACCTTGATATTTTCCCAACTGAAAGTCGCAATTATGTCTGATGACGATTTAACCCTATTCCTGGCGGGGGGGGGGGGCTCAGGAGCCCCCCCTGAGGTTTTTTGGTTATTTCTCCCAAACGCGTTGAGCTAGGAAGCTCAAATTTTCTGACTTTTCCTATAAGGCTTCTACGCAACATGTCTGAAAATTTTGAGTTGATCTGACCTCAGGTCAGGTCACCAGAGGCGGTTTGGTGACCCTACCTCAGAAAAGTTTGCAATCACGCCAGAGCTACAGTTTTTGACTGATCAATTTCTTCTCTTCAGGCTTTAGTTAGGGTACCAGTATGTGCAATTTGTATATCTCGGAATTTTGATATCGGTGACCTAAGGTCAGGTCAGTTTCGCGACCTCCCCATTATAAGTCAATGGGGGAAAAATCAACTCCCTGTTTTTACCACTAAAACGGGTCGGAATGGCCCCATATACCATACATGACTTCATATACGATCAACCTTCACTACCTTGAGGTCTGTTTTGCTGTTGGGCAGCTGTGAGGTCATGTGACGTCATCAAAGGTCACCAAAGGTTTTTGGCCAATAACTCCGTACAGGAACAAGATACAGACGCGTGGATGGTCTCATTGTGTTCAGCTCGTCAAGACGCATCGAATGATATACATGATGACCTCGAGGTCACGTGACCTGAGGTCAACCTTTGACCTTGACCTTTCGAGGTCAACATATATATCATTCGATGCGGATTGACGAGAGGATCACGATGATGCCCTTAGTTTGTTCCTATCTTGACTAATTCGAAAGTTATTCGAGAAAAACTCTCTCCATATCTAGCGCCGCCATTTTGACTTTTTCGACCCCTGTGACGTCATCTTTGACCTGACCTGAAAATGACCTTAGTAAAAATTGTAGACCTTGTCCATGCGTATCCGATGCCGTTTACCGCTTGTCGCTATCTTGCTTCGTTCTCGAGATCTCAGGGGGGGGTGCCGAATCGGCCCCCCCGCCAGTTTCTTGTCCCGGCGGAGCCCGCCAGGAATAGGGTTAAGCCTTATCAATTGTCATTCATATGCGCAAATGAAAAAAGTGGCTATCGCCCTGCGTTGACCTCAGGTCAGGTCATTTTTTATGACCTGTCCATTATTACGAGCGGGAGCGACGCGAGATCTCGAGAATAAAGCAAGATAGCGACAAGCGGTAAACGGTACAGGATTCACACGGATAAGGTCTACAATTTTTACGGAGGTCATTTTCAGGTCAGGTGAAAGATGACGTCACAGGGGAAAAAAGGAAGTCAAAATAGTTTTGGCTGTACCTTTTGATCTAATAAAGAAAGAGACGTGGAACAGGCACCATTGTGTTTGCTTTCGCCTAGCGCCAATTCGTTTTGAATTTCAATACCGATGACCTAAGATCTGAGGCCAGTTTTACCAACAGAAAAATAGCAGCCCGGCGCAATTTTTCTAAAAACCCGTCGACGAGTTTCACCAACCAGGCGAAAAAATATCCGCCGGCGTGAAAAAATATCAGCCAGAAAAATAGCCAACGAGTTTCACCAACGGCAAATGCGGCATTAATGGAGTGTTTATCTGCGCCATTATATGTAGAAAAACAGTCCCAAAAAATAGACGGGCGACCCCGTCTATTTTTTTATGTCGTGTTGGAATAATTGGCCTCATTTGTTACTAATTATCGTGATTTGCGCTTCTCAGTTGATATAATAATTTAGTATCATTCATGGCCAATTTGTAAAGCATCTGGGCTTCAAGATTAGAAGAGGAATACTGATGATATTGCGTAAAGAAAGAGCCTTTGTCACCAGGCAGGACCAAAAGGAACCAAAAAGACGGGTGTTTGGTGTTGTGGTGTTACCTAGTTTTTTCGTTTTATATTATCTTTTTGCTACCAGCACCCAACAGCAAGATGATAGCGCATTAACTAGTGGTCAGCTTACAAGTTCATTGCTCGCACGGAAGTGGAAAATAATGATGGAAGGTCATTTTCGAAAATCAAAGGTGCTTGAAGAAATGCTGGAAGGAGAGGCAGAGAGGGTAGGCTTATTGGACGCAAGATTTTAAATAAATATGTCACTGTTTTCACATATTCAGCTACATTTGACATTGCAGGGTGCCAGCTACTGATACCACCACTACTTTTGGGTGGAACTTACTTGAGTTGTGCGGAATAGGGAAGGTGCATTGACATTGCTAAGACCAAAATGGCAAGATTTTCAAGATATAATAATTCAAGATAGTAATTCAAAATAATTCAACTCAAGATAGAATAAATTTAAAAAAGAAATTGAATAGCATGAAAGAAATGTATAAAGGCTTGTTTTTAAGCAAAACGTGCAAAGTTTGCATGGTTGCGAACCCGAACCCTTGCTGAATGCTGTCATAAGATTGTGCCACTGAACTCAGCAAGTCATGCTGCCAATATTGAAGGAAAAGAAAATAATAGTAATGATGTAAAATGTAAATGAATCCATAACTGATGTGTGTGCAGTGTGCACTGTGCTGATATTGAATGCATGTGTATCTTGCATGCATGAGTCATGCAGGGATCATATTAAAACTGGCTGTAAGTATTGTGAGTTAGTTTTGCTAAATTGTGGAGGCACCAGGCAAATTGCGGTCTAAATGTTATTTGTTCACCTCAGCGCTGAAATTTCTGCACACAGAGTTTTCAGATCATGCGCCGAAATGTTCATGCAGCCCGTCCCTTACGCTGGTCATGTTGACAGTGACAAGGATTTTTTCTCAGTCTCATGTTGAAATACAGTAATAATTCACTTAGCTTGATTTTAGCTTATGTTTTTCATGCCAGTTCCTAGAATAAGGCAGCCAATATTTTCTGTCATGTGAGAAATAAAATGACAATATGCACAATTGCGGGCTGTGGCATGTTGTGATGTTTTTCCTTGTTTATTGCTGAGGGTTTTCCAGTCTCTGCTGCAAAAACGGTGGTGAATCCACCGTCGTCCGACGGTTTCGATGACGCCTATCATCGGCGAGTGTTGCTGTGATGGCCGACCTGACTGAGCGCACAGCGGCAGCCGCCGTCGCCAATAACGACCTCCGAGTCGGACGGAGACGCCGCCGCGGACGACTTCACCGTGCTGGACGAGGTGGAGCGCTCGAGCCGACAGGCCGTGCACCGCGTGCGCTGCCCGACTGGCTGGCGCACTCGCAGCCGATTGGCGACCGGCGGCCGGCGCCGGCTAATCTGCCGGCGCTCTGCCCCGAGCTGCGCGCCCGGCTGGCCGCCGAGGGCATCGAACAGGTGTTCCTGGTGCAGGTGACGGTGCTGCCCGAGTTGCTGGCGGCCGCAGAGTCGCCGCTGCCACCGGCCGACCTCTGCGTCTCGGCGCCGGCCGGCCGCGGTAAGACGCTGCCGTTCGTGCTGCCGCTGGTGCAGGCGCGGCGCCGCGCTGCGCCGGCCGCCGGGTGCGCGCGCTAGCTGTGCTACCCACACAGGCGCTGCCCGCTCAGGTGCCCGCCGTGTTCCGCCAGTACGACGCCGACACGCCGCTCTGCGTCCGGCTGCTGGGTGGAGACGCAGTGGCACGAGGGGAAGGGGGGGGGGGGGCACCAACTGGTGGCGGTGGGGCCGCGCGGCCCGGTCTCCCTGGCTGATCGTGGTGAGCACTCCTGGCTGGCTGATGGATCACATAACCAGCGCCGAGGGCTTCTCGCTAGCGCACCTGCGCTACCTGGTGATCGACGAAGCCGACCGGGTGATCGAGATGGCCGAGACGGGCTGGCTGAAAGCGGTGGAGCGGGTGGCGGCAGCCACGGCCCGCCGGCGAGTTACCTAAGTGTGGAACTGTCCATGCCTAAGCTCTATGATTGGCATAAGCTTCGCCGAGATGACGTTACAGGCTGTGACGTCATGGCTCACAGTCGGCCGACCAATCGCTGCACGATTATAAGCTAGCGGCACGCGGCACTAGCGCCCCTGGTGTTATTATATGACTTAAAAGAAAAGAAAATATTTTCTGTTCACTAGCGGTGGCAAGCATAGTTTAAAACTGCAAAATATATTTGTTTTAAATTTTGTATTGATGTTTCTTTTACAAAAAAATGCAAAAAGAAACAGCTTAAATATTTTTGTTTTGTTCTTGATAAGCAGAAACCGTTGTTTATACAAATTGCTAAGTTAACCGCGCGGTCGCGCGGTCGAAGGCTGTTGAGGCTTAGGGTGATCGTTTTATTTTACTTTTGCGTTTGTTTTTACGGTTTTGAAATTAAAGTTATGTCTTTGGAGGAAGTCCTGTCATCGTCCGTTTTTAAGAACCATGGATTTGAAAATATTTCGGTCAAGAGTGAGAACCAGGAAGAAATAAAAGTTCGCGTGAACCTGTTTACCAGGGAGGATTTTTCGAAATGGAAAAATGTTTTTGAGGAGCTTACGTGCTCTACCCTTATCAGCGAGAAACTCCTACCGTCTGGAGAGGGCCACCGATATGTTTTTGGCCAGCGCCTCAGGTGCCATCATGGGCGCCCACACAAGGGCGTTAAGAAGACATATACAGGGTAAGTAGTGCAAGCAGGGGCGCAGCTTCCTTAACAGTTGGTGGGGCAACTGCCCCAGTAGCTTGTTGTTTCTACAAAAAGTATTTGCCGCATCAATTTCAGCAGATTTGTACTTTGATTTTAAATCATTTTTTTTCTTAGAAAAGCTTTGGAATGTAGCTATGCGTAGGTAGGTTGATATCTACTGCAAAGATATATCTTATGCCATGACTTGATTCAGTGATCAAAAACATAAAGGTATGTTAACATTGCTGTTAAAGACCTATAAATGGCGATTAATTACAAATTAATTAATTATATTACAAATTAATTAATTAATGAATTAATTAAATTACAAATTAATTAATTAAATTACATCCTAACTTACAAAGGGCTCGAACAACTTGCATGCATCACCATCATACTTAACAGTTCAATTAAAAGCAGTTACCCAGTTCTACACAAATAATACGATAATACCAATAAAAATGCAAGTTTCTACACCCAAACTAATGCATCCGTTAATCATACATATCAAAACATACAGTTATCGCGTAAACCTGTACCTCTAGTCAAAACATAAAGGTATGTTTACATTGCTGTTAAAGACCTATAAATGGCGAGGGAGGATCAACGTTACAAGTGCCAGTGTGAGGCTTGCGAGCCACAAGATGTTATTATCTGCAGCCGATGGCTCCATTGACAGCTAAAAAAAAAAAAACGCATGAAAAAGCAATTGATAGCTTTTTAACTCTTCGTTTGATATGGTCATCATCAAAATTGACCTCAGGTCAACGGTTTAGCCTCCAGAGGGCAAAAACTCCCAAAATATCTGTTTTTACGAAAAGTGTTTTTCGACAATAACTTTTGACTTAAACAAGCCACGACATTTCTATTGCCAGAATCGTGTTCCTCTCGCCGAGACGCGTCAAATGAACTATAATTTGACCTTGAAAGGTCAACTTTTAAAATTTGACTTCAGGTCAAGGTCATGACCTGACCAGAAAAGGTCATGTTGCATAGCATTCGATGCGTCTCAACAAGACAAACACAATGAGGCCATCCCCAGCGTCCTATCTCTTTCCAATCGAGTTATTGGCAAAAAGCTGTTTGTAGCCTCGGATGACCTCGGGTGACCTTTCTAGAGGCTATCAGCAAAAATGACACCTGTGTCATCACGGGTGGTCCAAATCATTGTGATTCTGAAATATTTGGACTGTTCCTATGCGTACACACGGATCTAAAGGCATTTTCATTGTTCTCCATTGACTGATAAATGATAATGGTAAGGTCACGCCACTGGCCTGACCTTAGGTCACGGATATAAAAAATCCGAGATATACACATTATAGGTGCCCATAACATCATGCAATCCACCAAGTTTAAAACCTCTCTGACAAACACTACAGGCTGGACATGATTGCAAACTTTTTTAGGCTTGGTCAGTTAACTTGACCTGGTGACCTGACCTGACATGACCTGGGGGCATAAATTTCATACATTGTCCAAAATTGATGTACAAAAAGAAAAGCTACTCCAAGGTTTTTTTATTCACACGCAAAAAAAAACGCGACAGGGTGGTAACATATGCCCCCCCCCCCCACTGGGGCGAAGGTTAAAGCGGACCGCCGTCGTTAAATAAACAGACTATAGTATGTATTTTAGTTAGTAGCGCAACTGCGTCCTGTTTCATGTTATAACCTTTAACCTGACTTTCCAACTTTCGCAGATGTGAGTTTCGAGTGATTGTGACCATCAAGCCCGTGAGCAAGAACACCATAAAGAACGACAAAGCAGTGGCAACTCACCCAGGCCTCATCCGGATAGTCGGCCGCCACAACCACAGCACCTCCTCCGCAGCAGCTTTGAAGGAGCTGAGTGTCTTACCCAGAGTCAGACGCAACTTCGAAGAGTACTTCGAGCAAGGTGTGTACACATTTTGATCTATTGACCGGTTTTATTCATCTTGATCTTGTTTAAGGTCAAATTTCTGTGTATATTACCTGGTATAAGTGTCGCTTTCTTCGAGTATATTCAAGCCCCATGGAAAAATCTGCATAATGCTAAAGGAGGTCGCAGGAATGCGAGAGGAGTGGCTCCACCTTTTCACGTTTCAGAGTAAAACGATTGAGTAATGTGATAGGAGATACTGAAAAGTCATCTTCTGCCCAGCGATGCGCTGTTTTCCTTCTCAACGGCCCTTACCTTGCGCCCCGCTGGGGCTCCTGGATCTTCACCCCCTTCTGGGGGCAGGGATTACACACCTTACCCCTTCTGACTCGGCTCGTTGACCATGTAACAAGATGCGGTAGGATGTGTTGGAAAGAGCGTTAGAAATAGAGATGAAGCTTAATCTTCAGTTATCTATTTCTATGTCAGATCAAAGGTCATGTCACCAGACGTCATCAAAGGCAAAATTTCGTCTTTTTTGACAGTCTTTTTTTTTGCAAATTTTCGCATAGCTAGAGAACAAATCGCATTGGAACAAAAATAGCATTGAGCACACACACACAAGCTAAACGCTGGAAAACGCCGCACACAGACGAGGGCTAAACTAGCATTGACCCATGCGTATTGAGACATCATATGAATTTGCAAAAATCAATTCAAATATCTGCTAATATATTCGTTTCTGTTTGGTAGTCTCGTATTACATAATCCTTGACGGTATTGGCCTTTTCATAGCGATTCGCATACCGAGGAGGGGGTCCCCTTGCTTTTCGATCCATGATCGAGCTAGAGATCCTATATACGAGTGCGTTGGGAGGGGGAGGGGTAGGGTTTGGACGGACTGTCACCCCTTACACATTAGACGCTGTAGAAAGGCCAATACGAGGAAAGGTTGATGTATGTACTGGCCCATGAATGGGCTATTCATCCATTATATATCAATGTACTTTAACCCGCGCACCGACGGGGGGGGGATATCCGCCCCCTGAGGTTTTTCGCGAATAGCGGGAAAACCGCAACGCGTAGCGCCGCGATATTTGGTACCACTATTCTCTCATCAATTTTACACATGGTGTGCAAGTTTGAACCTCCTAACTTTTAAGGTCAGGTCACCAGGTCACTTTGAATGACCCAACCTCAAGTCACTTTTTTGCAACTTTACCACCGTGCCAGAGCTACAGTAGATGTCGGAGGCCTTTGAAAGTCGCAGGATGTTATTAGATCATTAGTAGCTACAATTTGTATATCTCGGAATTTTGATATCGGTGACCTAAGGTCAGGTCAATTTCTCGACCTCCCCATTATAAGTCAATGGGGGAAAAATCAACTCCCTGTTTTTACCACTAAAACGGGTCGGAATGGCCCCATAAACCATACATGACCTCATATACGATCAACCTTCACTACCTTGAGGTCTGTTTTGCTGTTGGGCAGTTGTAAGGTCATGTGACGTCATCAAAGGTCACCAACGGTTTTTTGACAATAACTCCGTACAGGAACAAGATACAGCCGCGCGGATGGTCTCATTGTGTTCAGCTCGTCAAGGCGCATCGAATGATATACCTACATGATGATCTCGAGGTCACGTGACCTGAGGTCAACCTTTGACCTTGACCTTTCGAGGTCAACATATATATCATTCGATGCGGATTGACGAGAGGATCACGATGCTGCCCTTAGTTTGTTCCTATATTGACTAGTTCGAAAGTTATTCGAGAAAAACTCTCCATACCTAGCGCCGCCATTTTGACATTTTTGACCCCTGTGACGTCATCTTTGACCTGACCTGTAAATGCCCTTTGTAAAAATTGTAGACCTTGTCCGTGCGTATCCCTTGCCGTTTACCGCTTGTCGCTATCTTGCTTCGTTCTCGAGATCTCAGGGGGGGGGGGCGGTCATCCGCCCCCCCCCCCCGTCGGTGCGGAGTTGGCGCAGACCCCCGTCGGTGCGCGGGTTAACTTCAGTTTGTCCGTTTTTTTTTTCAGGCATGGGCGCGTCTCAAGCGGCACGACTTCACAGTATGAAACGAGCAGCCGAGGGAGATTGGCTGGAGATGGCTCGAAACGACACGAACCCAACGAAAAGGGCTGTGGTGTACATGCACGATGTATGGCGAGAGAATGAACATGGAGGGTACAACGACGCAGCAATGGCCCAGTCTCTGAAGAAATACGCTGCGGCCCATCCCGAGCTCTCCATTGAGGTGCTGCAGACTGAAGGGTTCTTTTGCGTCTCTCTGGTGACGCCCTTTATGAAGCGAGTCCATCAAGAGATGAGGGAGGCAGGAGAAGTCGTCTTTGTTGACGGGACGGCGTCGGTGGACCGACTGAACACGTGTGTCCATCCACTGCTCTGCGCCACTCCGGCCGGCGCCGCGCCCCTGGGCGTCATCTTCACCTCGGCACAGGATGAGGCGTGCCTGACGACAGGTGCGTGTGAATAGTAGACAGTCGTCCGTGGTTTTAGTAAAGTAATTTGATTTCATAATATTACAGTTTTAGTTTTAACTTTTAAGAGTCTGTTGGTTCAAACTTCAAACTACCTTTAATATGCAAAACATTCACCTTTAAGCCTCTTCTTCAATCTTTAACCGAAGCTTTAACGATCCATTCTTTTCTTAGGTTTCAAGCTGCTGCAAACGTCGTTGGGACCAGACAGCTTCTTCGGCAAGGGGAGACCAGACTGCTTCATGACGGATAACTCGACTCCGGAACGGAAGGCGTTGGCGTCAGTCTGGCCAGACTCCAAGCAGTTTCTCTGTGTCTTTCACATCCTACAGCAGGTAGAGTCAATGCTTCGTTAAACCCCCTCCCCCCCCCCCCACTAGGGCGAAGTTGGCTGAGACCGCCACTGGGGCGCGGGTTAATGATAGGTCAGGAAATGAAAAAAAATCATAATAACGTGTTAAATTAATGATATGTGAATGGTTTGGAATGCTTTCATGGATTTTTTACCATAGACATCCGTCCACTTGTAAGGCGCTCATTCAGTGTTCGATCATTCAGCGCGTGATTCGACACCCACCAGCCGCCAAATTTGAAGTTGAAGTTGAAGTTGAGCATTAGTGAGCTGTAGTAGACTAGGTCTATTCAATGCTCACATCGAGCCGGACTAGGAAATGAGCCATAAGGTCAGTTGTGGCGTGAGGATGCAGGTTTGGCAGCCCTGTGTTGGTCTAGCCTTCGTTTGAACATGTTTGTAGAAGTAGCCTCCACCACATAATAAATAATCAGGCTAACTGCGCTTAATCGCGCAGTCGGCGCTGAACCGCAGTCGGCGCGCAGCAGACTCCGTTGTGAAATTCAGTGCGTAAATGTGCAGTGGACGGCCAGCTTTAGAGATGCCATTCCGCTAAAAATTCGTGGTCGAATGCTGGTTAGAGGATTCAACCAATGCGGTAACACTGAATTGTTCTATTATAACAGAGGTTAATTAACCCTCGTCCGTAAACGGTGTTTTGCCACCTTCGCCCATGCAGGGGGGGGGGGGGTTGGTGCGACCCCCTCCCCCCTGACGTTTGAAAACGGAGCGTCGTAGAGCTTAGCGGAAAAGACCAACGGATTGCTCTCAACGAGATCTCGCGATTGGTGGTATATTTTTTGGTCCTAGGTCAACATTTGACCTACTTATGACCGGTCAAAGGTCAAATTTTCGGAAAAATCTAACTTTTTCAGATTTCCGCGCCGATTGCGGCAAAACGGTAAGAGATATCGACTTGAAACCTTCACTATCGTGATCCTTGATCAATTCTCTATCGTTTGGTGTATATTTCGATGTCATAACTCTAAAAATGATGCGTTGGGAGCATCGGAAGTCTGCAAGGTCATTTGTGCATTGGGTCACGTCAGGCGTGTGACGTCACTGACCTGACCCTGACCCAAAATGAACTACAAGAAACAACTGACGATGCCTGAAATGGATAGCAAATTCGAATTCAGGGCATCAAAATACCCCGAAAAGGCATACAAGTGCAAGAAGTCATTACAGGTCAACCGAGGTCACTGACCTTACCTTGACCTTTAGTAACCTTCAAAATGTCAACGGACATTGTGCCAATGTCAAATCAGCCAGTTGTGATTCTAAAACAATCCATCAGTGTGTCAGGTCAGTCGGCATTTATACCAATGTTAAGCAATCTCCAATTTAGCGTAAATCTGGCCGGAGGTTGTTCCCTTTATGACGTCATAACTCCGTGACCTGACATGACCTTGACAAAAAATTTTTACCAAAAGTTGCGCAAAGGATGCCCCAAAGGGTACTGAAAATTTGAGCAGGCTATCTGAAACGGTTCGGCGTGTAGCTAAGAAAAACCTCAGGGGGGGGGGGGGTTGCACCAACCCCCCCCTACATGGGCGAGGGTTAATATGCTTCTTCTTATAGTTCGTTATTAAAAGCCGGTCTGGTTTTAAGTTCCTTAAATAAGCCCTCGCGTGAGTTTTGTCAACCTCAGACGTCTGGCCAAGAATTTCTTGCCGCTAAAATATTCAATTTCAAATCGTGTTCGGTAAATACATGGCAGTTGTGTCTTCAAAAATGAGCATACCATGTTATGACGACGTCACTCGTGGCAGCTGGAAGTTATACCTACAAAATACATTACAATGCTAGTTCGACTGCATATCACCACTATTCTGACACCTTGTTCCAAAACGCACGTATGAAATTTATCAGGAATGATTAACATGTTAAGCTTAGGCGACGCCCGATTTCTCAGGTTATGATTTTGCCTTTTTCGCTGACTGAAGGTCGCCATTCTGGTTAGGTGTACACATTTACGCCCCGAATTTAACCATTGGAGACAATGGGCTGCGCGCCGACAACAGTTCAGCGCCGAACGCGAGATGAAGAGCAGTCAGCTGATTATTCGTCGGCTGGTCGGCGCCGAATTACGCGTTGACGAGTTGAACTACTTCAACTTTTCAGCGTGCTAGACGCAGAGCGATTATGTGCTGAATACGCGCTTAACCAGTGGACGGCCACCCTAAAACGCGTGCCAACTGCCAAGCCGAGAAACGTACTTGGAGCCAAACCGGTTTTGAAAAAAACGAACTTAGCGCCAAAGTCCATGTTAAAGGACGCTGGTTTAGCATCAGTAAAGCTGTTCCCGCGAGGTTCATGCATAAGTTTGAAATCTAATAGCACCGTACTTGTATTATTTCTGCTGCTAGGTGTGGCGGTGGCTCCTCGACACCAAGCACGGTATCAAGAAGGATCAGCGCCAGCAACTGTTGAACGTGACAAAGAGCCTGGTGTACGCCGAATCGCCAACGAGCTTCACGGCCATTTGGGAGGCATACCTGGCAAGTCCGATGGCCGAAAGCTGCGATTCCTTCACGAGGTAAGTGATCGTCACGATAGCAAGTAGACTATCCCACCTTCTAAAATGTTGTTAAAACCAGTTAAATTGTGCCCGACTTTATAGATTGGATGACCAGGAACACGGTTCTGGCATTTATTTTTCATTAAACATCTTAGGCTTCCCATATTCCAAACACAAACTTTCAAATATGTGACGTCACAGCCCAAAATTACCTCCTTCCCCAGGCCACATTACTGTCATAAAGCTGATTCTTTTTACTCTGTAGGCACCACAACAAAGTTCAGACCAAGTTTTAAGCGATTTTTCAACGAACAAACCCATTTAAATCAGAATGACTAAACGAGGTGACGTCACACTAACGGTCGCTCCATGTTGAAGATAGGGCCTTGCACAAGGCCCATTTTCAAATGAAGGGAACGAATTTCTTCAACACCAAGAGGCCGCGGGGGTTGCAACCTAGATAGATAGTGGTTTCTGAACCTCGCCGCAAACTTGGCTATCTCAACTCAAACCCCATGTTAAAGGTGTGATAGTCCCTTTAACTGACGTAGAGCTATTTGGATGGTTTACGTAAAGTCGATTGACTATTTCTTGTTTTCATACTCGGACACTCAGGGCTGCTGAGTTTGTGTTGACTCCGGCACCGTTTTCCAACAATCAACTCCAATTATAGCTTGTCAGACTCCTATTTCTTGCTTGCTATTATTGTCCATCACGAAATGTCGAAATAGGGAACATCTTGTGATGACTTGAACAGTGCGATCCGAGCTAAATGAATAACTGAAGCGTGTCCGTAGTAATCTTTACAGCCTTTCAATTTACTCGCTTCGTGGCCCGTGTTTGAGTCTTCATAGCCACGTTTTACTCGGCTCTCCTTCCCTCTCGGAGCCAAACGTTACCTCGGCGGCCGCCGCGATGGGCCTCCGCGCCACCCGCCGGCTTGGGGGGGGGGGGAGGAGGCATATAGTTGCCCCTCTTTACTTTTGCGACGATATCGTCGCAACGCGAAGAATAGAAATACGAAACTTCACATACATGTTCCTGAATACCTAGCCAAGGTTGTCTTCAAATTTAGTGTCGATCCCTTTTGAAATGACGTCACAGTGACATCTAAGGTCAAACTATAGATTTGCGACTCTTAGTTTCCCCACGATATATCCGATATACGAGACCGAATATAAAGGGCCGATTAATGGTCAGGAACAAGTTGGAAGTGTATTTAGATGTTGTATGATGACAGCACGTGCTGTCTACAGTTGAGGTTCATGCTCAGCGACATCAGAAACGGTCCATATCGGAAAACGACAAAACTTTATGACGTCACTGTGACGCCATCTTAGGTGTTACAATGAAACATTGCCTAGGTATTCGACTTTTGAAGCTATGCTAAGTTTCATGTTCGTAGCTATCAGGTTTCGGAGATATTCCACAAAACGTAAAGGGGGGGGGGGGCAACTTTATGCCCCCGCGGCTCGTGGGTTACGATCGAAGCACCGCTTTCGTGAACAAATCCGGTCTTCAACAGAAATATGGATGTCATGTGTGCAATTGTGTCTTACATTTACTTTCTTGCTGGTTATATATCACTGCTTATACCGCATGTTCCTGGCCTTTGTGTTATTTTCAGACTTACTTCTGACGGGAACGCGCTTACATCGTTTCTGAAAACAATACTTTACCTCGTGTTACAGTTTATTCTCTTTACCACAGGTACATGGAAGAGCTCGTGGAGCGTCGAGCTGAGTGGGCACTGGCCTTCAGAAGTGGTGAGGTGCTTCGAGGACACCACACCAACAACTTCGCCGAAGCCACGATGTGTGTGATAAAGGATATCGTCCTCAACAGGTTAGACAGATTCATCAGGGTTGAACTCAGTCCTGAAAATGTAGCATGTTGACTTCGGTCACAAACACACATTCCTAGATATTGTTTTCGTGGCTTCTGCCTGTCTAAGCTATGAGTTTCTGTTTGGATGCCGAATAGCCTAAGGACGAACTGTATGCAACATGATCTCACCTGACCAATGTCCTGACCTGATCGACTTTCACCTGACCGTGAACTGACCGTGACGTACGGAAGGTGGGGGTGGGGTGGGAGTGAGGGTTCTGTTGTGCCCCCACCCTGACGGAGCCAGAGCTTCGCGGAAAAAGGAGCGTGCTGCTCGTGACGAGATTAAGCCATTGAAGGTTAATTTTGAAAGGTCTTAGGTCATTGGTTGATCTTCCAGATAAGATCAATGATCAATGACCCAAAAGTTGGGGGAATGGGGACCTGCAAGAAGTACTTTAAGCTAGGTCGATTTCTTATTAGTTTTTGGCTGAAAATGATGTACATTGTACTTATTTGGGTACGTCGGGTCAGGTCAGGTCAAGTCAACCAGTAGGCGTCCGTCAGCTAGCCATAGTAGGTGTAAACCGCCACTGGCAGCTTCGTGATGTTACGTATACACCAAAGGGCAAAACTACTTCTTAAATGTTGACACGAGTGCTTAATTCGAAATCAGCCCCATAAGCTGCACTAAGTGGCGTAAAACTCGAAAAGTCACCCGAGCTCATCAAAGGTAAATGACATTGACCTTACCCTCAAGTTACCTTCACCTTTTGACCCACCATAAAGCATGGGACCGACATCATATGCTATGCTGGCATGTCTCTCATCACAAAAGTATGGAAACGCACGAATAATGTACGTCGACATACGCCGAATAGCAATTTTGGGCTGGCAAGGTCTCAAGAAACAGGTCACAGTTCAAAGGTGATTTGTGTTCGTATCATGAAATTTACAATGATATTTGATGAAAAAGAAACTCGAGGGTCTGAAACTGGTTGCAATAGGTCGCCTTTTCGCGAGTTATTCTCGAAAAAGAAAAACGAAGAGAGCCTATCCGACCTCCCCCGCCTAAGATCGAGGAATGACTATCCGGTGCACATTTGTTACCCGATAAGTTTCATTGCATTTAGTACCTATAACTTTCAACTATCTCCGATTGACTTATAATGGTCAGAGGTCGCAAAGTTGACCTGACCTTACGTCAAAGATATCGGAATTCTGAGACATACGGTTTTTGCGCACTGTTGTACAAGTTTAACCCTCGCCGGCACAGGCCGGGGGGTTGATGCAACCCCCCCCCCCTTAGGTTTTTCGCGAATAACTCGCGTAAAAAGCGGCCGATCGCGACGAAACTTTCAGTACCCTCGCATTGATCAATTTTACACCTACTCTGAAAATTTCATGACCCTGACCCAAATGACCTTTGACCTGTGACCTCTTTTCCGAGACCATGTTTGGCCGGAATCGCGATTCGGCGTGTGTCGGCTCGCATTAGCCGCGCGTTTGCAAGCTTTTCGTGGTTTCAAACGTTCAAGCATGTGATTTGATGTTGCTACCATACATTAGGGTGGGTGTCAAGGTCACCTGAAGGTCAGGTCAGGTCATTGACCTTTGGTGACCTCGGGTGACCTCGGTTCACTTTTTCGAGTTTTACATGTTTCTAGGCTAGTTTTTGGAGCTGAATTCGAATTTAGCAACCATTTGAACATTTAAGAAGTAGTTTTGGTGCCTTCGTAACATGTTACGAAGCTGTCAGAGGCGGTTGACACGTATTACGAATACCCGTCACAACCCCTACCGGTTGACCTGACCTGACATGACCTGACCTGGTCTAAATGCTTCAAGACATCATCCCTGATCAAAACTAACACGATATTCGTGACCAGCACCCCGGAAAACCACATAGAAGCCACACTTTACGACTTTCTGACAGGTCCCGATTTTCCCGGTTTTCGGGTCATTGACCTGACCTGGAAGGTCACCCGATGACCTAGGACCTTAAAATTGGGTATCATCGGCTTCCTCTCGTGACGGGCAACACGCTCGTTTTTTCCGCGAAGCTCTAGCTTGATCAGGGGCCAAACGCGAGGGGGGGGGGTCGTACCAACCCCCCCCCCCCCTTGTGCCGTCGAAGGACGCAAAATGGCCTGTGCCGGCGAGGGTTAACAGCGACCACTCAGTTAGGGTATATATGGCGAACATTTGACCCTTTCCAAGTTCACTTGACGTGAGCTGATGACCTGACCTTAAAAGACCTGGTTCTGTAATTTTCAAAATATATGGCGGAAAAATGTAGGTATGTTCATGTTTTTCCCTGTCACATACCAGAGTGAATTGTTGCGTGTATCATCGATTTTCTATATTTCATAGGTCCAAGGCGTACAACGCCTGCCAGCTAGTGATGCTGATGGCTGAGGTATGGGACGCCTTCATGCGGCAGCGACTGGTGGATGTCGCCCTCGGACGGCGAGGAAGGAGAGCGACCGTCTGCAAGACAACGTCCGATCTGCGGGACAATGTGGTGCAGACTGAAGGCGGACGAAACTTCAAAGTGAGGAGCGAAAAGGATGGCAGTAAGGTGTACGATGTCGACCTTCAGCTCGGCTGGTGTTCGTGCGTCAAGGGCCAGACTGGAGCCGTCTGCAAACACCAGACCGCGTGTGCCGAGTACGCGATGACGAACCTGCCGCAGGTGTACGTCGACACTCAGGAGAGTCGTCAGTGGCTGGCGGCCGTGGCCATGGGCAAGGAGGCGGCACCGCCGGCAGACTTCTTCGCTGGCCTGGTTCAGCAGGATGAGTCTCATCGTCCCAGTGGCGCAGGCGAGGCAAGCACCAGTGCGGTGGCTGCTGACGAACCTTCTGTCGATGAGGCGATGGATCCATCTGACGATGATTTTGTGGACAATATCCCGCCGACGCCAGATCAGTCCGTGGTGGTACGGCCGGAGAAGCCTAGCACTGCTTTCGTGGATGCGCTTCTGTCGGCGCTGGGAGACACAGTGCGAACACTGGGAGACGGCATGACGGAAGAAAGTGGTGCAAAAATGATCAGTCGTCTAAAACGCTTCCGCACAGGCGCTCAACTGAACAGCGCCCTCTGCCGGTTTGGTACAGACGTTGTCATCGGGTCTGGCGGCTGCGGCCTGAAAATACGGTGCCAGCCGACTTCAATCGCCAGGAGGCGCGAAGGGGTACCCAGGGGTGCGGCACCAGTCGCCTGCGGTCGGCCACCCAGAACGGGGCTCAGAACTACCGCCGGAAAGAAAAGGGCGCGTAACTTCGCAGCCAACGTTGCGCTGAACCAAGCCAATGCCAAGTCTCATGGCAGTGGACACTGAACGAATATTGACGCGTACCTCCATGTGGTTTCAAGCCCACATCCTGATCGTTAGTGGATTGCTTCCTTGGGCTTCTTGCACAATATGTTGATTGTGTCAAATGTGTAACATGCAGGGTGCCCCTAAAGGCATATTTGAACTTGATTTGAACTATGATTTGCGATGGTAGCTGTGTCGTGAGTCACCGTATTTCATGAGCCGAGTCGTGAGCCGTATTCGACCGGTTGTGGATAGGTGATGTGCGTAGTTCGTACATGAGCCTGCTATGTGTAAGAAACCGTATGATGGTATTCGTTGTTCGTGTTCGTTTCGCTACCAACATTGTCAATGGCCAATGCTTTATGAATGCGCTAAAACTATCAGTTGGGCTGCAGATGTGTTTCAATCACGACGTAAAAAAAAACGCATGCCATGCTGAAACAACGAAGTCATGGACGCAATGTTGCAATGACATTCGAAGTATGCAATGACATTCAAAGAACAGACGACTTCTTTGATGACGTGTGGTCGACCCTCCACTCCCGTAATTCCGAAAGCGTTGTTGGTAGAGTCGTGAGAGTGGCAGTGGAAGCATGGATGATGCATATATGACACTCATGCGCTTAGAAATTCTACAAAAGATTAAACCCAGCGAAATTGTCGAGTCAAACATTGAACTGGAAAATTCATACCAGTGTCAAAAGGTCAGAAATTTGAATGTATCGTATTTTTTTTCGGACAAGTACGTACTTGACCCCTTCAGTTAGTGGAAGTTGAACAAGTAAATTCAAATCTAATACGTAGCTTGAGTTGGGAGCAATTATGAATCATAAGGCATCGATGTCTCACAAATTAATTCGTCCATGCTCCTCAAATTTTGCTGTGCAGCGACCTTATATTATGCGTCATTACGCTTCAAACAATCAACACACAGCACCAGCCAGGCGCCGTTACAAGCAGAGAGTAGTTAAGTGGCGGCAGGTGGCGCTACTATCTCGAGCAATGGTCCAGATGGCGCCACTCACTATCGGCACTATAAATCAGTAATACCTGCTAATTCATGTTCTTTTGGTGTCAAACACCATTCAATGCCGATAGGCAGTATCACCAGCCGTAACACTGAAGACAATTGCTCAATGCTGGATCGAAACGCAGTGCACAAACCACCGTCAAAACTCCGAAGCACCTCCTTGGAGATACATATGAACGATAGCTGACATAACACCAGTTATATATTCACGTAGAACAACAAGTTGTTTTTCCCTAACAAGGGAACTTGCAAAAGTTAAGACTGACTGAATATTTACGCAAGATAACTTGCTCCACCTCTTCGCCAACTTAAGAAACCGCCAATCCATGCACCTAGCCGCCAGCGCCAACTGATGACGTCACTCGAACGGGCGACCGTATGAATAGTTCCACACTTAGGTAACTCGCGGCCCGCCGCCCTGCATCGCCGCGGGCCGGCTGACGGCCGCCGCCGTCTGCGCGCCTCACCTGCCGCTGCAGAAGCTGCCGTTCTTGGCTACCCTGTCACAGAACCCGGAGGCCGGAGAAGCTGGAGCGAATGTCGCTGTTCCAGCCGCGACTGCTGGTGGCCGGCACGGCCGGCCGCCGTCGCACTGCCCGGTCATTTCGTCGGCAGGTTCACCACGCCGGCCGAGCTGAGCGAGTCGTTCAACGTGGTGGCGCCGCAGCCGCTGAAGCCGCTGCTGATGCACAATTTGCTCCGACAGCCCGACTGGCGGCGCTCGCTCGTGTTGGTCAACTGGAACGAGGCGGCGCACCAGCTGGAGCTACCGCTGTCGGTGCTGGGCGCGCGCGAGGCCGAGTTCCCTGGGGCAGTGCCGGCGGGCCAGCGGCGGCGCGCGCCAGCTGAGATGCTGGTGTGCTCGAGGCTATGGCGCGCGGTATTGACGTGGACGCCGTGGACGCGGTCGTGTCGTACGACATCCCGGCGCTGTTGAAGGCACACTGCGTGCGTCGGACGGCGCGCGTTAGCCGGGCCGGCCAGGCGGTCACGCTAATGTTTGAGCGGCAGCGCAGCCATTTCTAGCGGCTGATGGCGCAGGCGGGCAAGGTGGACGGCCGGGTGCGGGAGACGCCGGTGCCGCTGTACGAGCTGCGCCAGTACGAGGCGACCTACGTCAGTGGATTTCCACGCTAGCTTCTAGTTGATCGCTTTTTTCACCTTTTTTACGCTCATCGCTCATGATTTATTTACATTTTAGAAATATTACAATGAATAGGTGTTTACCTTGTCATCAGCCCAGAAAAGTTAAAGTAAGTAAGACGTTTTTAGTTGCATAATGTATATTTGTTCATGAACACGGATTTAACGTGTCCTAACTCCCAAATACTTCGATATTAGACCCGAGTTTTGCAAACCAGTCGAAAGGCTTAGAACGATCATTTGGTTGGGGCGTAGCCAGACGGCTCGACTGGGCGTGGAAGCCGGCGAAAAGGTGGTCACCACGCGATCATCATGTAAAGCTGTCTCCGTCGGACGATTGTGTCCGTGCGCAACGAATGATCTCGGCACACGTGGACGAGTTCGGCAGGACTCTCCACTGAGCGGTACTGGGCGCAGTCGAACGACGGTCGACGAAGCTAGCGCAGGTATTGTTACGAGCCGGACCAGTGTAGCGGGGCCGGAGCTTATATTGTTTGCTGTGTGGCGTTCCTTCGTCTTGATCGGGCCCGGCAAACGGGGCCTGCATATCGGCTGAAACCACCTAGCCGGGCAGCATGACCTCCACCTCACCGAGGTGGGGCGAACGACCGTCCTTAGCCCTGCAATGACCGCGGTGCAGTTAATCTGGGTAGGTATCTTTCTGAGGTAAGACACTCGCCTTGGCACAAGGCTTTATATAGGCCTTGGCGAATCCTTAGCCCTCTTGGTCCTAGAAGTAGGTGTAATGCAGTGCGCGCGAAGCCGCCTCGCAACACCGCAGTTCACTCGCTCGGCAGCGGAACTGTCCGTCCAGCTTCAGGTGGCGCCTCTGGGAACAATGTTTGCCGCTTCTTCCCCACTCTTTTGACATCTAGGAAAGAGGTGCAACTCCCGGATCCGTCGGGAGCGGGTCCAATCTATTATAGTCCCCACTCCCCACCTCATAAAAGGTGGGAGTGGGGGTCCATACATTGCGTGCACGTTCGACACGATTATTTTCTACAAGGTCCGACTAAAAGCAGACAAAAAGGTTAATTGCAAGTTGAAGGTATTGTAAAAATGAAATATAATAGGCTGACAGGAAAAAAGATCCACTTAAGCGCACGCTTCCTATCGTCACCGTCATAAATGACGTAGGTTTACAATTTGGTGGTCTTGTATTGGCAAATTTATTATGGTCTATTTTGTGGTTACAACTCTTAAAAATATATGTAATGTTTCCCAGTAATGATATTTCTAAATGTTTGTGGTACTTGCATTAAAAACACGCTTAAATTTAATTGAAACATGTTTTAAATAATTAATCAATCTCCTTAACCATTATCGATATTAAAATATCAGCTGACTGCCGGCGACAAATATTTCCGGCCGATGTCGGCTGGAATTTTTTTTTGTTGGTGAAACTCGTGGCTGTGTGGCGGCTATTTTTCGGCTGGATATTTTATTTCGGCGGCCGGCTGGTATTTTTTGGTAAAACTGGCCTCAGGTCAATTTCTTGACCACCCCATTATAAGTCAATTGGGGAAAAATCAGCTCGTTGGAGGTGAGCTATGGCTAGTTTGAGCATAATTATGAATATTATGATGGTAGAAAATGACCTTATGCTCATGATACAATGAAATGATATTAAAATAAGTCCAAAAATATTATGATATATTTCGACTTGCGTCGTCTTCAGAATGTACATTTTCAGAATTGTCGACGAGCAAATTCAAATCCTTTCAAAATAGCGTGCAACATTTTTGTGAGATCTCTGGCTAACAAATTACAGTCAGATCATACCTATAATAAATTTTAACAGCGTACAATACAATGAATACAATATCACTGAATAATAATTGGATAAATATTGTCAGTGCGACACAATACCTAAAAGTAACACAGGCATATGTTGTTTGTGCAGCACGCCAAACTCGCGAAAATGCAAAGCCTATGCAGAGTGATTGACATGATAAGATGCATTCATACAGTTATAATTACACATGTTTCAGGTGCGTACAACTAAAACATACACACAGCAGAGTAAACATGACACCAGTGTAGAGCTCGCTGAGGTGGTGCACGAGTGGGGGGGGGGGGACGCTGTCAACTGCGTCTACCCTACATCAAATTAGTACAAATGGCGATGAAAGACGCACCTAACAAGTACAAGTTCTTCAGGTGAGACAAATAAAAAGAATGGATAAGCCAATAGAGACATGCTGACAAAAAAGAGGACGGTAGGCCAAGCATAGAACATCGCCTATGTGGGAGTGTAGGGAGGGGGATGGAGAAGGGGCCAGGATGAGGTTTGTGTGTTTAGGCATGGTTTTTGGTTTCTTATTTCAACAGATTCTGCTATTTTGAGATCAGCCACATCTTTACATACTCTCTCTATGCTAATTTTGAATGAGGATGACGATATACTACATGATGGGTGGTTGAGGTTGACATGGTCTCCGAGAGGGGTGTTTTTGGTCTTGTTTTTAGCATCCCGTAGATGCTCATTAAATCTTTCGCGGACTCTCCTTTTTGATTCACCTATGTACACAGCGGGTTTCTCATCACACAGGTTACATGTGATTTTATATACAACATTTTTGGTATGACAGCGGCTGTCAAAGGTATGACAGCGGCTGCCTAAACACACAAACCTCATCCTGGCCCCTTCTCCATCCCCCTCCCTACACTCCCACATAGGCGATGTTCTATGCTTGGCCTACCGTCCTCTTTTTTGTCAGCATGTCTCTATTGGCTTATCCATTCTTTTTATTTGTCTCACCTGAAGAACTTGTACTTGTTAGGTGCGTCTTTCATCGCCATTTGTACTAATTTGATGTAGGGTAGACGCAGTTGACAGCGTCCCCCCCACTCGTGCACCACCTCAGCGAGCTCTACACTGGTGTCATGTTTACTCTGCTGTGTGTATGTTTTAGTTGTACGCACCTGAAACATGTGTAATTATAACTGTATGAATGCATCTTATCATGTCAATCACTCTGCATAGGCTTTGCATTTTCGCGAGTTTGGCGTGCTGCACAAACAACATATGCCTGTGTTACTTTTAGGTATTGTGTCGCACTGACAATATTTATCCAATTATTATTCAGTGATATTGTATTCATTGTATTGTACGCTGTTAAAATTTATTATAGGTATGATCTGACTGTAATTTGTTAGCCAGAGATCTCACAAAAATGTTGCACGCTATTTTGAAAGGATTTGAATTTGCTCGTCGACAATTCTGAAAATGTACATTCTGAAGACGACGCAAGTCGAAATATATCATAATATTTTTGGACTTATTTTAATATCATTTCATTGTATTAAAATTCAGCTACCTTGTTTTTACAC